GGAGTACTGTGACTGCCAGAGGAAGTCCAGGTGTCTGTGAGTGTAAGATCAAAAGAAAGAAAGGGATCTACATTGAAGAAAAAGAGAAGGAGGGGAACAAGCATTTATTTAGTGCCTCCTGTGTGCCATGTCCTATGTTAACCATGTGATGAGTGAGGGGAAATAAGGAAGTAATGTGTACTAAGAATAGAAAGGTAAGTTGGGTTAGGAAGAGCTTTGAATGCCAAACATTGGAGTTTATATTCAGTGATAGGATGATACACACACACACACACACACACACACACACACACACACACACACAAAATTGGAATTGTTTGAGTAAGAGAGTGATACGGTAGGCCTTCACTTTGGGAAAGTCACTTTGGAGGCTATGTGGAATATATGGATGGTGAATGAGAAGGAAGAGTTGTGGATGACACCAATATTGGGAAAATGAGAATTAGAAGTGGACTGATTAGGGGGGTAAATTCCCAAAGAAGATAGAAGGTATGGGATCAAAGGTACAAGTAGAGACATTGGTTTTGCCAAGATGAAGAAGCATGCTTCTTTAGAAAGGAGAACAAAAGATAGCATCAGGGATTTTGAGGTGTAAAGCAGGGGAAAAAGAAATGAGTTCATTGCAGATTACCTTTGTTTTATCAGTAAGGTAGAAGTTGTAAACATCATGCTAAGAGGAAGAAATCAGGATGAAGGAGGCATTGAGGCCTTGAAGAAACTAAAGAAAATTTAGAACAGCCACTTTGGGGAGTGTGATAATCAAGAGAAACCTCAAAAATTACCATATAGCAATAAAGGCCAATGGTAGCTAGGTGTCATTATGGATAGAGGGCTGGGCTTATAGTCAGGGAGACTCACCTTGGTGAGTTCAAATCTGGTCTCAGACACTTATTGGCTGTGTGACCCCAGGGAAGTTCCTTAACCCTGTTTACTTTAGTTTTCACATCTGTAGAATTAGCTGTAGAAGGGAATGGCAAACCACTCCAGTATCTTTGCCAAGAAAACTCCAAATGTGGTCATGAAGAGTCAGGCAGGACTGAAATAACTGAACAACCATAAAGGCTAAGTCAAGATTAGGTAATGTATTATGTAGTGGACCAACACTTGAATAGGAGTGAAGCAGGGAATGATGTGAATAACTCAGAGCTGGCCTTTGGCAAGGCATGAGTGATGCAAAACAAGTTATCAAGGAATTCAGAGACAGAGAATAATAAGTGGTTGAACTAATCAGCAATAGTGTCCTGACTGAGGGAGAGGAGTAGAGAGAGAGGCCAGAGCAAGGGTGCTAAACTGAGAGGAGGAGTATGGGTTGAGAGGCAGAAGATTGTAATGAAAATTAAGACTATTCTAGGAGGAGTTTGGCAAAGGGAGAGAAGGGAAGATAAGAGATTGTCACTGAAGAGAGGAATTTCAGAATTCAGCATCATGTAAGAAATAATGTTTGATGATGGGATCTATGGGATGGGCATCTTTATGGATGGCTGAGGTGGAGTAAAGATTATAGGACATAGGAGCTGAAATTGAAGAATAGGGAAATCAGGTGTTGAGGAGATACTGATGTTTATTGTCTCTATATATTATCTGTATTGAAGTCCTCTTTGATTGCAGGGATAAATTTGGAGGGGAAAATGAATTGGGAATTGAAAGAGAATTATCCTATAAGTACTAAGAAATAGGATAAAATGATATATAGTTGTCCTTTCCATGTGCCCATTGCAGTTCTGATATATTTTGAGTCAGCATAAGAAATTAAATGGGAATTCTTTGAGAGTTTTACGGAAGCTGCAGACAATATGCAAGGCCAGCAAACACAAAAAAAAATTTAGAAACTCAGAAATGCATAAAATATATGTGTAGTATTATATAATATCAACATTTTATCTTTTTATACCATAATAATTCACACTTCTTCCCTGGTATGAAGGGGAAGGGCAATAAATTTTATGTGGATTTTCCAGATCGTGGGAGTGCTTCATCCTTACCCCCCCCCCCCCCCAGCCCTAGCAATGTGGAAGGGATAACTGTAGGGTGATGGGAATCTAGAAAGAAAAGAGAGTTACTGAGTACTCATGGCAGTGAAACAGTCTTGGAGTAAGCAGTGAAGAATAAGTAAATATACTTAATTCTCCTCTTCTCACAATGTAGTAGGGATAAATATATTACAGGAAATGTAGGGAGTTCTTACAGGGAATAAGAGAAGGAGCACCTAGGACTGTATAGGGTGACTGGGGATACAGTGGCTTCCAGAGGAAGCCCAGGTGCCTGTGAGTGTAAGAAGATGGAAAGAATGTGAAAGAAAATTATTTAGGATAAAGAGAAAGAGGAAGAAAGCAGGAAACAAGCATTTAGTGCCTCCTATATGCCAGGCACCGTGCTGAGTGTTTTACAAATGTTATCTCATTTGACCTTTAAAATAACCCTATGAGGTAGATGCTATTATTATCCTCATTTTGCAGTTGAGGACACTAAGGCAGACAGAGGTTAAAGTGACTTACCCAGGGTCACACCATAGTAAGTGTCCTAAGCCAGATTTGAACTCAGTTCTTCCGAGACTCTAGGCCCAGCTCTATCTACTGTGCCACTTAGCTGCCTCAATTAGTGTAAGCTAATAATTAGATGCATCATGACATACTGGAAAGAGGACTGGTCTCGGAATCACGGAGACCTGGTTTTAAGTCTTGCTTCTGGCGTAAAGGCAACTAGGTAGCACCAGGCCTGGAGACAGGAAAACCAGAGTTCAAATCCAGCCTCAGACACTAGCTGTGTAGCCCTAGACAAGTCACTTAACCCTGTTTGCCTCAGTTTTCTCATCTGTAAGATGAGCTGGATAAGGAGATGGCAAACCACTTCAGTATCTTTGCAAAAAACAAGCAAACAAACCCAAATGGGATCATGAATAGTCAGACTGAAAAACAACTGAAAAACAAAAAAATCTGGCATAAGCATTCTGTGACCATGGACAAGCCTCTCAGTGGCCCATGAGATGTTAATATAGATGGGTTGTCCATCTGCATTGGTGAAGAGAATTTCCATACTAGGAGTTCCTAACACCCATTAAATCCAAGATCTGGATCATCCTACTTGACCACTGGAGAATTTGACACTGTCGACAACTCCTCTCCTCAATCCCTTCCTGGACACTTGATTTATAATAGTGTTCTCTCCTGGTTGTTCTACCTTTTTGGCCACTTCTCATCTCCTTTTTTAGGATCATTAGCCAAATCCTGAACAGTATAAGTGAGTATTTGTCAGGGCCCTGTCTTAGACTCTCTTCTCTTTCTGTGGATCTTTATTTAAATGAGTCTCATACCTACTTAGCTGGGCCTCACCTCTTTCTTTGAGTTCTAGTCCTACATTACCAGCGACACGGAGAGCATCTGAAACTTAACGAATCTGAAACAAAACTTAACTCTGTTTCCACTTCCAAATTCGTTCTGCGTGGTATTGACTTAACTGTCTTCATTTTTTTTCTCCCAATAGAAAGTAAGGTCCTTGAAGGCAGAAACTTTCATTTTCTGTCTTTGCATGCCTGGATCTAGCACAGTCCCTAGCACATAGTATGTACTTAATAAATGCTTGTGAAATGAGTGAATTAATGGGGGAGGAGACAGGTAATAGTGTGTTGTGTTAAGAAATTTTATTTTCTGGTCTCCTAATCTGGAATCATGTCCCTATCTCCTTAATTCTTTTGCTATAGTGGCAGTTTTGGTTTTTGTAGTTGTGAACACAGCTTAACACATTACTGGGCATAAGCACCATAACATTAATCAGGACTGAATTCTAGTATGAAAGAGATTTGACATATATTTAGCTGTTTCATACTTATTTAAAATCGATAGGTGAAAAAAATAAAATCAGTAGGTACTAGTTGTTATGTGTCAATTCATAGATAACTGTTCCTTCAAAATTCATTGAATTGATTTGAAATATCATTTAGACTGCCTCTTAGGCAACTGCGGAATTCACATGAGGGCAGAGAGGGGACAGCATTTTTCAGTCAGATTATTTCCTCATCTGCAAAATGAAGAGATTGAACTTCGCTTCTTAGGCCCTTTCCAGCTCTAAACCTATGATCCTATGATCTTTGCAGCGTAATCATTTTGAAGGGAAAGAACAAAGATCCCTTACCCTTACCTAACATTTTTTGGGATGGAGGAGAATAGATGTATCATACTTGTTAGTAAGGCATTTTACTGGAAAGTACTCTCTTTGAGAAGGTTAAGGAAAGAAGTCCCAAATCCTCTCTTTCGATGTGCAATTACAAAGGACTCTTTTTTGCTATGTGCTTTAAATCTTCCTAGGTTCCTTGAACAAGAAAAACAAACTTGGGTCCTGATTAGAACATTTCAGAAAAGTTTGAAAATTTTTAAAAATACATTTTTACTTCTTTAAATGTTTGGGAGATTCCTTCAAAAACAGTTGAGGAAGATTGGCCTGGGATAAGAGGCATATTACGTGTGTGTGTGTGTGTGTGTGTGTGTGTGTGTGTGTGTGTGTGTTTTGCATTCGTAGCTTTTATTGAATGATGAGTTTTGTTGAATTTCCTAACTTTTAAATGTATTTATTGTTTCCTTTTAAAATTAATCCTAAAGATTTCCAAGCTGAGTTTTCATTAGAATGCTTGAAAACACAAATGATTTTCGTGGGCAATATTTTGTTAGAAAATAGTCAGCAATTAAGCACCTGAAGTTGTGATATCTCTTATATAATCCTGAGTTCTTACCTGTCCTAGGAGATAGAGGTCTAATTGCTTTGTTTACATTTATTTCCTAAAGAGAGAAAAAGAAAGAAAACATAGCCCTTTCCATTGGATAACTTTTGAATTCCTTTTTGTTGTACATTCCTTTCAATAAATGATAATCTTTCCTGGATTTGGTTGCTGGGGTATTATGATAATATGTATCTTATTCTTTTGGTTTTAAGGTTTTTCTAAATGAGCTTAATTTGATTTAAAATGAAAAGTAATATTTTGATGTTTTCTCTTTACCTTTTCTGGATAGAGAGGCAGATGAAGGCTGTAAAAAGCCTTTAGAAAGATTGCTGAACATCTGGCAAGAAAGAAGTGTTTATGGTGGTGAGTTCATTCAACAGCTGAAGTTATCTATGGAAGACTCCAACAGCCCTCCACCTAAAGGTAGAAATATGTTTTCTTGCTGGACTTTACCTGTGTTAAAAATGGAAGGTGGAAAAAGTACAGTGGGGGTTTCTATGAATAGTTAGTCATTAAAGGATTTGTCAGAGAAACAATAATTGGTAATTATAATATCTTATTTATATAGCCCTTTAAGGTTCTCAAAGCATGACTTCCAACAGCCATTTAAGGTAGGTGGTATAAGTATGATCTCTATTTTGAAAGATGAAAAAACTTAGATTTTCAGAGTTTAAATGACTTGCCAGTGGTCATGTAGCTAGTAATGAACTGAAGCAACTCTCTACGACTCTTAAGTTAGAGGTGAGTTGCTGATGTGCATTGATTGGTGTTTCATCATTGGGACTTCCCTGTAGCAGGGAAATCACAGGCACTGTGCTAGTCCTGGTGGAAATAAACCAAAAAAAAAAAAAAACCAGAAACAAAAACAAAAAAGAAAATAATTCTTGCTTTCAGGGATCTTCTGTTTAACCGGAGAATACAACTTTACACAGAAAGGAAAGTACAAGATAATTTAATGTGAGAGAGAGTACTAACAGCCCCTTGCTAGTTGATCAGAAAAGGCTTCTTCTGTAAGAGATGACACTTGAGCTGAGCCTTCAAGGAAGCAATGGATTCTAAAAATTTCAGGTGAGCAGGAAGTATATTCCAGAAATGAGTGATAACCTCTGCAAAGGGACCAAATGGGAGATGGAATGCCAAGTGAAGGAAACAGCAAGTAGGCTGGAATGTAGAGTACAGAGGAATAATGTGAACTTTCTGGACAGTTAGTTTGGATCTAGATTATAGAGGGCATTTGGTGCCAAGCTGAAGAGTTTGTATAGTATCCTAGAGGTAATAGGGAGCCATTGATGATTCTTGAGTCAAGAGTCACCTAGTCACACCTGTACTTTAGGAAGTTTGTTGCAGTAGATGTGTAGAGGGCAAATAGAAAATGGGAAGAACTTTTAGGAGACTTTTGCAGTAGTCAGAGCATGAAACAGTGAGAGTTTGGACTAGATTTCTTAGCTGTTCATGAGGAGAGAATTGGAAGGATAAGAGAAGTGTTGTGGAGGTAGAATTGACAAGATTTAATAACTGATCAGATAAGGAGGATAGAGGAGAGGGAAGACTTGAGGATAACTTCAAGGTTACCAACTTGTACTATGTAAGCTCTCTCTTGTGTGACAAAGATTGGTGATACCTTTAACAGAAATAGAGAAGTTTGGAGGAAGGGTAGAATGCCTTGTAGATAACTGGTGGTATGGGATGGGCTTTCAGGAAAAAGATTAGGTTTGGGTATGTACATCTTTATAGAAAAAACAGTCGGATCCGTAGAAACTAATGAGGTCACTAAAAAGTGGTGTGTAGAGTGAAGAGGATCCAGCAAGGCAGAATATGATTGGACTTTTGTCTTCCTAGTCTTAAACTCTGTTCCACTTCTGAATGCAGCCTTGAATAATAGTGTTTTTGGTTACCATGTCACACTGTTGACTTGTATTGAGTAAGTCGCCACTGGATCCATTTTTAAATTGTTGGCTAGCCATGCTTCCTCATCTTATATTTGTAAAATTGACTTATTGAACTCAAATGTAAGACTTTACATTTATCCCTATTAAATTTTGTCTTACGAGGCGTAGCATATATATATAGACTGTTAAAATCTTTTTGGATCTTCACTATTGTCTAGTATGTTAGCTATCCCTCATAGCTTTGAATCAAAATTTGATAAGCAGACCCACTATACCTCTAACTATGTTGTTGATAACAATGTTAAATAACACAAGGCTAAACACAGATCCCTGGGGTACTCCAAAAGAGACTTTCTTCCAGGTTGACATTGAACCATAGCTAAGTCTCAATTAATGCAGGCTTAAATAATGTGAAATTTGACTTAGTGTTAATTATAAAATACCAGGTCATATTAATGCCAGCCAAAATTCATTTAATGTGCTGCATGAGAGCAAAGTAAGGGTTTTAACATGCTGCTGCATAGTCATTCTGTGTTTGATTATTCTTCTGTGTGGATGTGATGCGTACCATATTACCAAGCGTTCTATTACATTTTTTTTAAAAAGAACCTTTAACAGAATGGACAAAAGGAAGGACACTTCAGTTGGAAATACAGCCAGTGCAAAATAAATAAATAAAGAGGCTTGTTACTACATTACAACAAGTTTTGTTGTAACTGAATAGTATGAATGTGATTATAGTAACTTTAAAATAGGACAAGATGTTGGAATGCCTGAATCTGTGGAATGGAATATTCTAAAACATTTAAATAAAATAAAAAGATAAAGTTGCATCAGTTTTTGGTGATTTGCATACAACTATATAGGGAAAAAGTGTTAGAAATACAGCATCTTTTTGTTTTATTGATTGAGGATTGCAATAAAAAACTCATTTCTTTTAGTAGAGCAGCCATTCAGATAAAAGCTTCAAGTTTTAAGGCAGTAGAAGGAAAGAGAAATGAAGGGGATAGTCAGCAACGTTTTATTGCAAGTTTTGGTTTGATTGCTCTAAAAATCAAGTTCAACTGCATAATGTTAAGTTTACCAAAGAGGTGGCTAGTGCAAATGAAAATAGAGTAGCTAAAATATCCTGGTGTTTTGAAGAAAATAATTGAAGAAAGTGCATGATAATCTACAAAATTTTAAAGTGAATGAAATAGGCTTATTCTGGAAAGAGTGGCTTCAAGAACAACAACAACAAAACAATATATTTATCTATGGGTTTTTTTTGCACTTTAATAACACTTTGATTTTTTACAATTACACATAAAGATAGTTTTCAGGATTCATTTTTTTCCCTAGCATTCATTTTTCTAAGATTTTGAGTTCCAAATTTTTCTCCCTCCCTTTCTTACCTCCCCTCTTCCCAAGACAGCAAGCAATCTGATACAGGTTATACATGTACAATTAAACATATTTCCACCTTAGTCATGTTGTGAAAAAAGAATCAGAACAAAAGGGAAAAAATACAAGAAGCAAAAAAACAAAAAAAGTGAAAATAGTATGCTTCGATCTGCATTCAGAATCCATAGTTCTTTCTCTGAATCTGGATAGCATTTTCCATGACAAGTCTTTTGGAATTGTCTTAGGTCATTGCATTGCTGAGAAGAGCTAAGTCTATCAAAGTTAGTCATCACACAGTGTGTCTATTACTATGTACAATGTTCTCCTGGTTATGCTCACTTCACTCAGCCGAAGTCTTTCCAAGTTTTTCTGAAATCTGTCTGCTCATCATTTCTTAAGGAACAATAGTATTCCTTACATTCACATACTATATACCCCAATTGATAGGCATCCCCTCAATTTCCATTTCTTGGCCACAACAAAAAGAACTGCTTTAAATATTTTTGTACATGTGGATCCTTTTTCCTTTTTTTGGTCTCTTTGGGATACAGATCTAGTAGTGATATTGCTGGGTCAAAGGGTATGCACAGTTTTATAGACCTTTGGGCATAAAGAACTTACAATTCTAAGAAAGAAAAAGCTTGACCTGGACTTAAAGTGTCCAAGCATCACCTGATATTTTTATTGAGAGGTAATGTAGGAAGAAGACTTTAAGTTAAAACGAGTGTTTATCAGTCTCAAAATCCTTGTGCTCTAAAAGGTAACAGCCATCTATCACTTCTAGTTCTTGAGTGTTTGAATACTAAGGCATGGGTGACTAAAGGTATTTTCAAAGACTGGTTTTCAAATTATTTTAGCCCAGATGGTGAAAAATATTGTAAGGACAACAGTATTGCATTTGAAGCATTACTGATTTTAGAGAAGGCCCTGCTTCATTGTGTGAAAATGTGAACATGCAAATTTACCAAGATGTGTATAAAACTCTTTGCATCTACCAACATATTATGAAAATGATGGTTCAGTCTATACTGACAAAATATTTTAAATAACAATAATGATGCTTTTTGTCATATCATCAGTGTAGGCTCATCTTTAGGTATGATACTCAGTCATTCTTTAAAATTTTGCTTTCTGTAACTTCTCTGTGATAAACTTGAATCAGAAACACATTTTTTATCCTTTGTTATATTATGTTAATGAACAGATAAAAACTTACTTTTAAAAATTTCATTTCATATTTCCATTGGACTAGAACCAAATCACCATATTTTACATATAATTATAACTTATAATAGTGCATATTCTAATAATGCGACCTGTTAATGGGACTTATTCTTTGCACTAATCAAGACATGGCTGTTTTAATTCCATATCATTTAATGTCACTAATTAATGATTCTTTTGTGGGTCCAACTATTCAACCATTTCCAAAAATACCTAACTACTACTCTCTAGCCTGCACTTTTCTGTCTTGTCCGTGAGAGGAGCATGAGAAATTTTGTCAAATGCTTAACTAAAATCTAGGTAAAGCATATCTGTAGTGTTTGAATTACCAGTCTGGTTGGTTAGTCATCAAGCATTAAGTGCTTCTTAGGTGCCTGACTCTGTACTAAGTGCTGGAGATAAAGTGAAAAGCAAAAACATAGTCCTTGCCCTCAAGGAGCTCAATTCATCCATTCATTTATTTAAGAAGCAGTCTCAGAAAGGAAAGGACCAGGAAGGATTTCCTTCAGAAAATAGGATTTAAGCTGAATTTTGAAGGAAGCCAGGTGAAGTAAAGAGGGCAAAGAGCGTTCTAGTTATGGGGTAGACAGCCACTGCATATGCACTGATGGAATATTGTGTGAGGAACAGTAAATAGGCCGCTATAGCTAGATTATAGAGGGGAATAAAGTTAAATAAGAAGATTAGAAAGGCAAGAAGGGGCCAGGTTATGAAGAGATTTAAATGCCAAATGGAAGATCCATGGAGGTAATAGAAAAGTACTGGAGTATATTGAGTAGGGAGGGGGTGACATGATCCGATCTTTACTTTGGGGAAAAGCTTGGATAACAGATTGGATATGTGGAGTGAGTACTAGTGATGAGTCCCAAGATTAACACCTGGGTGACTAGGAGGATAGTGGTGCCTTCAACCGTGATAGTTAAGTTG